GACGATAGGTAAACCTATCTACTCTTAAAGTTTTAAAACACAATAGCTGAAAATGATAATCTTGTGGCGAAAGATAAAATGAAAAGAGAATGTATCTGTCTATATTTTTGAGATGATGTATTATGTACACTATCTACATTTTTCGGACTATTGTCCTCATCTTTGTCGCCATATTTATTACAACGTTTCGACCGTTGTACGCTCCGGCCTTCTTCAAGTGTTTGGAATGTCGAACTGAACTATTTCGCTCACTGGGGTAGGCTGTTCTAGTTCCACGTGCCATGTTTAATGGGCGTCAATTATTAATAATCTCCTGTTAATTTCCCTCTGAAAGTTATCCACTGCCTTAACCGGGTATTGAACTCACACTCTTTGGGTCCTGTCACTGGATCTAATTCATACACAGATTTCCTCAAGAACACATGGCACAGTGGATAAAGGCGTTATTTAGATAATGAAGAGAGAATGGTTGGAATTTGAAATTGCTTAAATTATTTGATATTTGCTCCTTTTGCAATTTAATTATTACTTGTAAATTTCTTGGACTAGAGATTTCTACCATTTTGGCGTTTGGGGCAAATTCTCTTCCATTTGTTCTTTTATTATTCGATGTTTCTTTTTAGGTTCAACAACGTTTTTTTATCCGTAATAATTTTCTTCATTTTTTTTTTTTTTTTTTCTGATTTAAATTATATTTTTCTACACAGTCACCTTCCGTTTCTTTTTGTTACTCAATCTTTTTTTTTTCTTTTACACATTTTTGTTCTTTCATTAATTCTGTTTTTATCATTTCCTTGTTTCTCCTTCAGGATTCTTAAATCTTTCTTGAAACTCCTTCTTTTTTCCATTTTACATTAGTCCTTTCATCATCTTTACTTTTTCATTTTTAAGACATTTTCCTCGTTTATGTTTTACGAGTTCTATTCAATTTTCATTTTTTCCGTTAATCTCAACTTATTTTCCCATTTCTTAGATACGCATCTTCACATTTACATAGTTTAATTCGAATTCAGATAACCCGATTTCTATCTGTTCTCAATTTATTTCAAAGAGAATATTCATTTTAGATTATTTTCAAAGAATTTGAATTCGACATTGCCTGTTAAAGATTGACGAAAATAAATTTAAAGCAACTACAAGAACAATGTCGGTTTTTATATAACTACATTATTTACATGCGAGAACTTAGCAAGTGTTCTGATAAAAATATTCAGAGTCATTATAACATACAAGGAATGACAATCTAATTGTCTGAATATCCCCACGGTACTTGCGTAGCTGGTCACCGTTGATTGCTGACCCCATCAAAGTTATACTTAATTACTAGTAATATAACCCGTCTTTGACCCGGTCTTTCATTACTAAGAATTTTCGCCGTTCAATTGGAACAGTTTAAGTTTAAAGTCCGCCCACTCGAAAATCAATATTGGTAACAACATTTGGTTCCCAAGTAGGCATCTACGCGGACGACACTACTATTTACTCCTGCCTCAAAAACAAATCTTGTGTCGCTGACAAAACTAACCTGGCCGTTTGTCTTGAAAAGGACCTCCAATCGGTTGTTAACTGGGGCAGGAATTGGCAGGTTAACTTTAATGCCTCAAAAAAAAAACTGCTCTCTATTACTCACCACAGAGAACCATCCCTACCCACCATTAGAATGTCTGACGCACAACTCCACGAAAGCGCCTCTTTGCAACTGCTTGGTCTCACATTGACTGCTGACCTGAGATGGAACAAATACATTGAGTCAATAGCTTCGTCCACCGCAAGGAAAGTTGGCTCCCTGTGCCGCGCCAGAAAATTTTTCTCGCCGGAATTGATCCTTCAAATTTACAAATCAACCATTCGCCCTTGCATTGAGTATTGCTACCATATATGGTCTAGAGTCATTTCTGTTTGTCTCAAGGTCCTCGATAACATCCAGAGACGGATATACAATGTAATTGGCCCTGATCTGGCATCTCGTCTGCAGTCACTCTCTCACAGACGTGCCATCGCCTCCTTCTGTCTTTATTACAAATACTTTCACAGTAACTGCTCCGATGAACTGCTTTCGCTGGTTCGCAGACTTCATGAATTTAAGCGTTCTACTAGACTGGCATCTCGCTCTCACCCTTTCACTGTCGAAACTGTTAAATGTAGCCGTCTCTTCTGCACCAAGGGCTTCAGGTCTCGCACTTATCGCCTGTGGAATTCCATCCCCTTTTCCTGATTGCTATAATCTCCAACTATTCAAATGTAATGTCAATCGACGTCTCCAGATGCCTTGATCTATCCCCTATCCTTCTCTTCATCTTTTCCTCTTTCACTCCTATTTGCTCTTGCTCCAACTCTCAGTAACCCCTTGCTTGCTCGTGGCTTCCCGCTTTGCTTGGGGTGAAACGTTTAAAAAAAAACAAAAAACTGAGGCACATCCCCAAATATGGGGTTGGGGCTAACAATTTGTTTAGGGGGGGGGAGGCCCTGAAAAGGGAACTGTATAATAATAAATAATATTATTTTAATAATTTAAACTATTTTTATTAAAGTTTTTATGAAAGATATATATCCAAGAACAGATAGCAAATAGCAAAAACTTACTGAGAGTTATAATGGACAGGAAGTAGTGGAGAGCCATTGTCGCCAACAATTTTGACTCAAAACCGGCACTGAAGAATTATGTATCAGACAAAAAAATTTCATTGAAATCGAATGAAAACTGGAAATAAATAAACGACATCCGATCACATACACACAGAGATAGTAAATAGCGAAACGTTGCTGAGTGTTATAATGGACAGGAAGTGGTGGAGAGCCATTGTCACCAACAATTTGGACTCCAAACCGGTACTGAAGAATTATCTAGCAAGCAAAATAATTTCATTAAAATCAGATGAAAACTGTGGAAACGCATAAACAACATCCGATCACACGCATACATACATACATACATACATACATACATACATGCATACATACATACATTTTGAGAATTATAGATATAGATAAGAAGAGTGACAATCTAATTGTCTGAATATCCCCGCGGTGTATGCTTCGCTGGCCACTGTTGGCTCTTGACCCCATCAAAGTAGACAGCTAGTGAAGCTATACTCTTCGTGATGTTGGAAACATTCTTGAACCTCGTTTCACAGAAAGCATTTTAGTGATATAGTTACGTATCCGTCTATATTTCTGAGATGAGGTATTATGTACATTATTTACATTATTCAGACTATTGTCCTCATATTGTCGTCATATTTATCACAACGTTTCGGCCGTTGTACGCTCCAGCCTTTTTCAGGTGGTTGGAATTTCGAACTGAACCCTTTATTTCGCTCACTCGGGTAGACTGTTCTAGTTCCACGTGCCATGTTTAATGGATGTCAGTTATCAGTTATCTCCTGTTAATTTTCCCTCTGAAAGTTCTCCACTGCCTTAACCGGGTATTGAACTCACACTCTTTGGATCCTGTCACTGGATCTAACCAACGCCTTTATCCACTTTGCCTTAAGAACATCTGTGTATGAATTTCTGGGTATTATAGACCTAATATCTTCAGCAACTTTTTTTTTTACCAGCGCTCATATTGCAATTTTTGCTGTTATCATTACTTGTTTTTACCAGAGCTCATATAACTGAAATCCATCTTTTGTTAAAAGATATCTAAGTTATGAAATCTGGGATTCTTAACAAAACTCATACCATTAGACAATTCTGTTAAATTCTACCGCGATGTTTCTTTATAAGCAATTTTTCTATCGCACGCAAACTTAATCTTCGGTCTTTATGCCCTATGGTTTGCATTCTGTCTCCGTGTACACCTGTTCTTTGTACCTGAGGCTACTCACCTCTTTTCGCCTTTTCTATAACCGCAACGCCACTAAAAAATCCTGAATTTATTAACAGCTTCTTCAAGTAATGTTTAATAGGGCTAACGTTTTCCTGACACTTTTCAGTAATCTTCATATATAATTTTATATTAATCCAATCCTTCAGGTTTATCTCACTCATTTTCCTCCAAAAGTATAACATGAACACGTACAACTTTCCCTACTGCTCGGCAACGAATGATTCAACAAAGAAGGAAACGGAAATTGAAACATGCCCGTACTAGTTCGTATACAACTGTTTGCCCAACTCAGTTACCTCAGCTTTCCGGGAATTGAATTTACGCCTCGTAGCTGAGTTAAATATCCTCACTATTTAAAGATCTGTTTACAATGTCAGTTGTAACATTGTGGGTGTGAAATAAAGGAGTATGTGTTAAGATTAAGGACGAAGGAAAGAAAAAAAATTCCTAACTAATAAGTTGATAACCACACAAATTGTAGGAAATATATCTCATTTATGAAATAGGATATATTTTATATGATCAGTTCAGGGTGTCCCGAATTGGAAATTGGCATTGTACAGGCCATCGGAGAACGGAAAAAGAGGAAGGACGGAACGGGGCTGAATCTCTTTTCATTTGTCTCTGAATTTAAAAAAAAAGTCAGCAGTTAGTATAAAGGCAAGATTTCCTTGATAAAAAGACTTCCTTCCTCAAAATTTTTCAGTGAGAATTTTTGCCTCTTAGCGAACACACGTGACCCAAGGTACGTCGTGTAAAAAGGATTAGAATACTTTCTCTCTCTCTCTCTTTCCGCTCTTTCTGTCTTTCTCTATGTCTTTCTCTCTTCTTATTTCTCTCTGCTTTACTAACAAGTAGTCGGTAAAATTTCGCTATATTTTCGCGATTTTATATTTTTTTTTAATATTGATTGATCCGTTTTCTACGACTTATCAACGTTTTGCAGTTTATTTAGAGCAAGGGAATATTTTTAAATTGTAAGAGTTTTTGTGGAGGTATAATATTGATTTGATGATACAAGTTTTACTAATTAACCCATATCTGGGAGGAAAAGAGATGGATTCATACATTTCCCAATGTTATTTGCGCGTAAGTGAATATAACAAAGCCAACGGGAATTGGAAATCTTATTAATAATTCCGTGCCGTTATCCATTACATCACCCGCACATCCACTTGGTATTCCCAAGCGGTCACCCATTTAGGTACTGACCAGGCTCAACGTTGTTTAACTTTGGTGAGAGAACGGGAACTGGCTTTTCAACGTTATGTGGCCGTAAACCTATTTTTTTTATAATTGAATTAAACTGAAATATAAAATCGTGATACGTATGATGTTAGAATTGCTTTTTGTCATCTCATGTCCGATACTATTTTTTTAATTGTTCAGCCCATGCACGACCCAAGAGCCACTCAAGCTAGAGGGTTACTGAATTAGCTTGTTGGGTGAATGTAAGAGGAGAAAATACCATGTACATATTATGCGGATATGTAAGAAAGATGAGGATTGACCCTGGATTAAAAAGGCTAAGATTGTTGTGACCCAGGAAGCATCCTCTCGGGAGTGTTTTTCTTGGAAAAAACTTTCTAAGTGGAACTTCCTCCTTACTAATGGAATACGAAGAGAATGGAGAAGAATCATCCCAGTGTGCGTGGCGTGGCGGTTTTTAGCTGTGAGTTCTGATCTAGTGGACCTAACGACTATAGTTGACCAGAACATTTGCCATGGAAATAGCGATAGAGTAGCGATGGGCTTGCAACGTTTCATCTGTGGGAAAAGGGGTGGTGGGGTGGTTGGGGGACATCAGCCTTAACGCTACATAGAATAATTATGGATCTAGATATATTAGCCCCGGTTATTTACCCTTGAAGGCATTGTGGAGTGCGTGAACCACGAGAAAGCAATTAAATCCCCATGCCTCATTTCCCCGGAAACAAAATGTGTAAATCGCTGAATCCAAAACCAACCCCAACCTGACTTAGTACCAGAAAGCGACCGAAAGACACGCGCATATGTCTCATTCATTAAAAGTTCTCTACAAATCGATCAGACCTTACGGACGTTTCTCAAACGGCAAAATCACTTAATAGCATTATTATTGTTGTTGTTAAAGAGCAGCACGCCAACCAAGTGACACTAAGGTACAATTTATTATTATTATTAGTAGTAGTAGTAGTAGTAGTAGTTTTAAGTTGTGAAAAGTTTTCCTATTGAAATTTCTGATGAGTCTTAATTCTTCAGTTCATAGAGAGTTCTACGACAGCCGGAGAAATTCCCCTCTGGCATCGTTAGAGATCTAAGCTCAACAACTTTAACAAAATATTGCAATAACAATCATAAATACGAATACTGGTAGTTATTTTAAGAAGTAAGAGGGTACAAATGAAAAGATTTGAAATTGGCAACTTTTTCCATTTCACTGAAACAGACGTGAAACACATCTTCGTTTCTTTCTTTCTTTCGATTTGCCACTGAAGCCAAATGCCTTTTTCTTCTCACGCGATCAAAGCGGAATAGTTCATTATTTATGAGGGATTAGCAGATGTTAAATACTTCTTTCTTTCTTTTTTAATTGAAACCAAGTAGTATCTCTGATACACACACACACACACACACATATATATATATATATTTACATATATATTCTGATGGGATCAAAATGGAATAGTTCATTATTTATGAGGGTTTAGCAGGTGATGTTAAATACTTCTATCTTTCTTTCTTTTTTAATTGAAACCAAGTAGCGTCTCTATATATATATATATATATATATATATATATATATATATATATATATATATATATTCTGATGTGATCAAAATGGAATAGTTCATAATCTATGAGGGGTTTAGCAGGATATGTTAAATACTTTCATCTTTCTGAAACCAAGTAAGGTCTCCGCTATATCTTTCTGTCTTTTCACGCGATCAAAACGAAATAGTCCATTATTAATGATCCATTGGCAAAGCGTAACGTGGTACGAATTAACGAAGACAGAAACGAGCATAATTATTAAACGATTGCTATTATTATTATTATTATTATTGTGGTTGATTCTGTTGTGGAAGAGAGCAACACGCCAACAAACTGAGTCTGCAGTACAAATACCCGAAATCTAATACACCCATCACGACAGCCAATCTGATCAGGGTATACCACGCACATGCATCACAGTCAAATGTCTTTAATATATTGGCAGGTTTTGGTAAAAGTAACTCACAACCTTGCCCAGTTAGAATTATCTCTAGGGCGGTTAACCAAGGCCATGAGGAGGGTTTCCTATTGTGTCTGTTCCCCACTATCGTGATGCAGTAGTAGTAGTAGTAGTATAGATTGAATTGTTTTCTCCCATCAATGTTTTTAAAGGGGCGGCGTGTTTTGTTAGGGTAGTTTGATAAAGCCAATTTTAGAAATTATTGGACATGTACAATAATTTGCAGTAACAGCTCGTTATCCATCACTCTATGAATGTATGCAAGTCCTGTAGACCGTTAACTGAAGTAAAAAATCTCAGGCTTACCATTGCTGCAGTGGCTCCTGTAACAAGTAAGTTTTTATAACGTGGGGTTACTGGTAAACACACACACACCAAGCTTTTGAATTAAATGTCGTTCTCTGAAAATAACTTTAGGCCTAGGCTAAAGAGTCCAGTTTTCTGCTGGGACGAAGAACCGTCTCTTGGGACGAAAGTTCACTCCAGGCTTCAAATGGAACTCGTATATTCGTACCATAGCTGAAGAGGCCGGAAAAACGGTCGCTTCGTTGTATTGCCCTAGAAAATACCAAAGTTCAGCTAAGATGTTCTATCTTTACAATAGTTAAGTCAGACCAAAATGGAGGATTGATGCCTCGTGGGACAATAGAATATCATAAAAAGGAGGCAATAAAATGAAAAACTAGTTTTAATGATGGCCATCGCTGTCTGATCGAATTGAATCACTTGACAAATATAGAATATCGATCTACAGAAAGTCAAATAGAAATAGGAACTGGTTTTAATGGTAGTCGTCATTGTTATTCGTTGTTTCCTGCATTTGGATTAAATCAAATCTTTTACAAAATACCCGAAATTATTAATAACCTAACCAGGATTTGTTTGAATGACAGTGTTGCAGGTATCGATTAAAAATATGGCTGGTAGCATCATCAACCCTATGTCTCAAACAAAAGTTATAATAATTCGAATATCAATATTAATGATGATTATGATGATAAGTCACACCTTCATTAAAGAAGCAGACCCCACCCAAAAATACAGCGAGAAAGAAAAAAAATTACAACGAATTTTCCTAAACCAGATATTATTATATGCGAACTAGCAAGCATCCGTTTACCTAAAGATAAAAATGTAGTACAAGGTTTGTTCAACGTTCAGTCCTTTGGCGGTGAGAGTGGAGTGTCTTCTCCAGGGTGAAGTCCTGGTCGATGGTATATGGAGGTCGTTCACTGTCCGAACTTCATAGCCCACCCCCTCTCGGCCGTACGGACAAGATCCAAAGGAATATTGAGCATTAAATATAGGGAATTCCGATGTTGCTGGAAAGTTATCAGTGTTAACAACAAACCATCTTCGGGGCAATACTTTTTTTCTCTCTAGATGTACTTTCATAGATTTTTCCGTGTTTGGGATATGACTGCCAAGCAGTAGAGTTTTTAAAAACAGGATTTTTTTCCCCTAGATTGCATGCCTTTCTAGGCTATTGAGCTCCATCTACCCGAAGCAGCTGGTGATGAGGCGCCAGTTGTACGCCTTCGCCCATTATCTGGGTTAGAGTTGGACTTTGTTGTTAGTGCCTATTTGAGACGCATGCAACGGAAGCATTTTATAGACAATAAGAACTTGTCCCCACTATCACCCCTTTGGGATATATATAGAGTACGTGTATATATATATATATATATATATATATATATATATATATATAAAGTACGTATATATATATATATATATATATATATATATATATATATATATATATATATATATATATATATATATAAAATACGTATATAAACATAATATATAGTACATGTTTTAGAATCTCCCCAAAAATTAACGTTTATTTTTTTTAATATATAGAACTTTAGATACAAAGCAAGACAAAATACGAAATATTAAGTCGGGATTTAAGCTTTAAGTTTTTTTTTTTTTTTTTTTTTTTTGTTTTTTTTTGTTTTTTTTTTTTTTTTTGTTTTTATAACTCACACTGTCACTGTATCTAACCAACGCCTTTAGTAATGGATAGCGGCTTGGATTGAGGAATCGTAAAGCCGAGTTCGAATTCCAGTCGAATCCATTACATTCACTTACGTGCTAATACCCTTGGGAAAGGTGTGAATCCTCTTCTTCTCCCTCCAGCTATGGGTAAATAGTAGGACAAACTGGGTTTTATAGCCTTGGATGGCAACTGGTCTAGGAGAAGGACAACGCTGAATTCAAAACCTGCGGAGGGTCGTTTGGGGACCTTGTGACACTTAGTGCATCAGGTCTCTGTAATCGGCCCTTCAAAAAGTGTGGATGGTTCTGCACGAAACCTTCACCATTATAATCAAATCTCATGTGTTATACATGCGGTTGGGGACCGCTTGTGAATTCCAAATTCCCATGAAACTCCAATATTGGAGCCGGCTCAACCCACCCCGGGTGAATACCGTTACAGATACAGGTACAGGTTTATCCACTGTGCCATGTGTCCTTAATTCGTTGGTAAAATCCAGTGACAGGACCCAAACAGTTGTGAGTTCAATACCGGTTTAAGGCAGTGGAGAACTTGGAGAGGATAATTAACAGAAGATAACAGATAACTGACATCCATTAGACATGGCACGTGGAACTAGAACAGTCTACCCAAGTGAGCAAAATAAAGGGTTCAGTTCGACATTCCAACCAGAAGGCCGGAGCGTACAACGGTCGAAACGTTGTTATAAATATGGCGACAAAGATGAGGACAATAGTCCGAATACTGTAAATAGTGTACATAAAACCTTATCTCAGAAATATAGACAGCTACATACGAACCATCGTTAAAGATGTTGTAAAAATTGTTGGTTTCTTGTATTGCTTCCTGAAAGCATTTGTTTCCTTATGCTAAGTTTTATCTTTACAAGATAAAACCAAAAATGAAGTTCTGCTGTATAACTAGGATAGAGATGGCCAGTCCTTAACTCGCCGGTGTTCAAACTCATCTAAGCGATCTTATGAGGGATGACATTCTCCATACTACAGTCTCTTTCCAATAAACGGAAAGTTGTAAGTCTATCGCTACTCTGTCTCTATT